ATTAACTAAGTAGGTGTGTGTTAGCTTAATGCTACAATCTTCTTAGGAGTAGATTTCCTAGCAAATTGACCACAAGGTCAGACAATGCAATACTCCGAGATGATACGCAAAAGCAAAGTGCTCTCATCTCAGACTCTACAGGCCTCAGTTAGCATGTTAAATGTTAAGTCCAAGACAGTACAATAAGAAAAATACTGAGCATACATGGCCTGTTTGGAAGGGTTTCCAACCAAATAGAAGATGGGAACACAGCTTAGGTTTGCATTGTTGCATATGAACAAAAGGAAAAATGTCCTTTGAACAGAGAAGGTGAAACTGGAGATATGTGACGTAATGGACAAACGCAGCACATTAGCAGAAACATCTAGTAAAAGCTGTCAAGCACAGTGGAGGAGGGGTGATGGTTTGGGCTTGTTTTGCAGCCACAGGCCTAGTCCTCTATATACCAAAGATTCAAATGTGAGGCCGTCCAGTGGAGCTGTTGGGTGGACGGCGTCCACCCAACAGCTCAAGCTAGGTTGTATGGTCATGCAACAGGACATTGATCCCAAACACAGCAACAAATCTACACCAGAATGACTGAAAAAGAAAGGAGGAAATGTTGAAGCACATGATTGAAATGCTGTGCATAATGAAATTCCCACAAACCTCAATGAACTGAAACAACATTAGTAAAAAAGTGAGCCAAAATTCCTCCACATCATTAGATGTGGTTCTACAGGATTGTAGATAATAGGGTGTATTTAGTTTCTAGCTTGACTGAATGCAGTCCTGTGAAAACTTTCTGTGTCACATATATCTGATTAAAACTCTGAGGCATAAATAAAGTTAAACAATTTCTAACATTTGTTCAGACAGGTATGTGCCTCAGTCTGTCATTCTACTGACTTTGATTAGCCACAATAAAGTAGTTGTATACTGCGAAAAAATTAAGGTAATTAAGGCAAATTACAAGATTAATTGTGGCACTGATGGGTAAAAAAGCAGAAGCACCTCATTTAAAAACAGTGAAATAGAGATGTCTGATTCCATATTTAAGAGAATTTATTTAAAAAAAAAAAAGTGGGCCTATCTAGCTGAATATTTAATTTAGAGGCGACCTACTTCTTGCTCAAAACAGCCTTGGCTTAGTGGGAAAAACACAATCAAGAACCACTTCCTTGCTGCATCTTGGTGAATCGCATAACCATGTGAACTGTAATGGAAGCAGCTTTTTTTAAATGCACATAACTGATGATGATCATTTTTTTCCTTCAACACTTACTGATTCATCTTTGCACAGGCATGTGGGAGGTTTGTCACAGAATCCGTTTTACCTCAGATATCAGGAATGACTCTAACTGGTGTTTTCCCCAAAGTCTTTCAGTACTAAAAATAAATCAGGGACTTATC